CAGTGGCCAGTCTGATGTTACAGTACAGATTCTGCAGAGAGAGAGATATGTATTTAATGAAGAAGAATTCTCTCTGGACTTTAGAGTTAAGCTGTTGCAGCAAAATTACTCAGTTTAGACTAATTTTTTCTATACAAATCTCAAGAAAAACCTATTCCAAGTATGTTTTGTAGTAGTATCTCCACATGACCAGAGGAGGGCACTTTGAACATCTTTGCACTGCCCGGGAGGCAGATGCAGAAGCACAGTGTTACCCAAAGTCGCGCGGTCCTGCCACCTCTTCCCGCCCAGGCAGGCAGCCTTGTGTCCACAAAAATACAGAATCCGTATTGTACCATAGGGCTCTGTTCTGAAAACTGTGGGCAGATATATCACTCTCTTCTCGCTAACTAGGATTTCTTCTGATTTCCCCCATTCAATTCAGTGTTGCTGCGGGTTAAGTTGAGATTAACGGCTAATTCCTAAAAATCACCTGAGGGGAGTCGTCTCCCTCTCCTTCCTGAACATCCCTCTGCTATTAGCCCCTGGTAATTTAGCAAATATTGATTGATTTAACCCTCTATGACTTATCCTGCTGCAGAAATTCCTTGCCTTTAACTGAAAAATGCACTTGGAAAATGCAGTCTCTGAGATATGTATTCAACAGTGCATCTTTTCACACTAAACTCTTGTAAAAGTACTGCTCCTTTCCGCCGTCTGAGGGAGGTGACTCTGCATCCCAGATCTGCTTCTCCGGCAGAGTACGTAGCAGAGAAATCAATCTCTTCTCTCTTCCGTCCATGACCACAGTGTGGAGTTCAGACACTCTCCATGCAGGAAACATCCCTTTGGGTTTCATTTTGGCTAAAGGTATCGACCTTCTATGGAAAAGATTTTAATTCTATAATCTTACTGTTATCATAGACAGGCAGATTTTTTTTTGTCACCTCTCTGCTTTGTTTTGTTCAAGTTTAATGCTGATAAATTATCAGAAAGGATTTAGAAACTTCTTTTTTTAATAAAAGTCTCTCCTCCACCCTGGGGAAACACGCTGCTTCTTTAATGTACTTTTCTCCCCCTCAACATTATTCCTTTTCTCTTTTCTTCTTTTTTCTTTCCTTTTTTCCTTCCTTTTTTCTTCTCTTTTTTCTCTTCTTTTCTCCTTTTTTTCTAGAGCAGACAGGTACAAGAAGGAAGTTGTCTTTCATCAGCAGTCCTTTGAGATAGAGTAGAATTCAGTGAGTCCTCACCATGATAGGATCATAAACTTACTGGGTTAAACCAAGCTAACTTTCCCTAAGCTGCCAAGTTTTAGCTGCGCCATACATGTATGTGTTTCCTTGTGCCATTTTCTTTTCTTATAATTTTGTTTTTCTTGATGACCCTGAGCTATGGCTTCTGTCTCGTTTCTACCACTAGTCGACCTTCCTTTCCTTTCTGGTTTTGCCGATATAGGCCTCAAAGAAAAAATGGCAGAAGAGCACAAAGTAGCTGAGGTACATGAGAGAGGACCAGATGATGTTCTGCACGTGGGAATGGCACTGGCCCTGCTGCATCCAGGAGAAGACCAGGTAATTGATCACGCAACCGATCAACATCTGAGTGATCTGCGACAAGGTGATGAACATGGCAAACTTGCGTGAGACTCTGAAGCCAGCAGCCCGCAAGGCATAGTAAGAGTACATAACGGCGTGTACTCCATAGTTCATGGTCATGAACCAGCCACCGCCAGCCACCATGTCCTTGTAGGAATACCAAGAATAAAGTAACACAGTAATGTGATGGTACCAGTGTAAGAAGATGAGCTTCTGTTTCCTAAGAATAATGAATATTGTATCACCTGTAACAAAAACAACAAAAAAAAAACACACAAAAAAAAAAAAGGAGGGAGGAAATGAGAAACATATTGAACAATTCCATAACTACTGCAGTGCTCTCTTCCCTTTGCTGTTGCTGGAGTATACGTTATTTTGGAGCATGAAAAACCACCTCAGCTCTAGATTTGAGAGCCTGTCTCATCTGAGAGCCAGCTTGACTCCTAATCTCTATGCAATCTTCAGAAAACCATGTATCCACACTTTCCTGCACGGATAATCCCTGTTTGAAAATCCCATAGGTTTACTTGGTAGCCCTTTGCTGCAAACATAATCCATGAAAGTCTGAGCTGAGGTTGTCCATTATGTACTGGTACTAGAAGAGAAATGCAGCTCGACAGAGAGCAGAAAACCTGAGGAGGAAGCAGCACAGTGTCCTCCAATTCAAATGCCTACCTGCACATTGAACATAGTTAAACTCAGTGGAGCCGTTTGAGCTACTATGCAAAAAGCTATTGCATATGCAACCTACAATACTGAAAGGTATGTAACTGTCAGAAGAAAATGCTTCCAGAAGGAAATTTGGTTTATGTTGAAATGCACATCCTTTTCTGCAAATTCATGTTGCTATTGTAGAAAAGTAAATTTTATTCCTCTTTCCTGCTTTTTTCTTCTTCCTGCTTCTCATGATTGCACTGAGCATCTATGTATATCTGTACGCTACTTGTTTTCTATTGTTATAGACACAGTGGTTCCAAAAAGATCCCTGAGATTTGAATCTGGAGACTTATTTCTACATACGTGTATCCCAGGAAATCCAAATCATGAATATTAGTGATGGGTGGAACCAAAACGGCACTGTCTGCACAAGGTCTGTAACAAGCCGTAATGCTACTGTTTACTTCCTTAGCTGCAAGATGTTGACTCACATTTTAATAAGTAATCATATGTTCAATTTATTGTTGCTGTGCAGTTCTAGCTGACGTTTTCCAGTTTTAACAACTAAATTTCCATGGATTTGCAGTAATTTAAGCAGCAGGAAACCAAGGGATTCTGACAGCAAGGCAACTAGTGTCTCTCTCCAGGTTTTATGCTGATGAATTGTTGTCCTGTAATTTGCTGAATCAAATTCTCTGCTGAAAGGTAAAGACTTATTTTTGCTGCAGCCCCTTGAGGTTTAGTAAGGGCATCCTCTGAAATGAAAGCTGGAGGGCTGCTAAATCGCTGCCTCCTCCTTCCCATTAAAACAAACCTTTCTTACACTAATAAGCTACGGGATAAGAACACATGCAGACTGGCTATTAAGTTGGCTTTGGCATGTATATCATAATTACACTTGCCAAAAAAAATTGCTGGAAAGACAGGAGTTTATAAGAATTCAGGACTGGAAATCTAGAGATATTATGGGAAATTGGTTTCTATTTGGAGGAAGCAGACAGCCACAGCTTTCAATGTTTGGGGAGGAAGCACGTTAATGTTCATAATTGTACGCCTACGTGTGTATTTAAGGACGAATGCTGCAGAATGGAGGCAGAACCTGACTCAAAGCTTCTTGCTGACACAGCTGCTGTAGCCCGTCCTTCACTCCCGTACCCAAGGGGTGAGTGGCTGCTGATTACGCTACTCGTGTTTACCTACGAGTAGCTAAGGAAGAGGTACGGACCAGAGTGCCTGTACCTCTTGACTGCCCTGCTGTGTGTAATCACTGCAGTTTATTCCTGAGCTGGGAATAGTCTTATTCAACTGCACATTGCTCTAACTTCAGCCAAGCTGGACTTAAATCTCCAGAGACTAAAACACGCAGAGTTTGGGATTGGTTTTGTTTACTCAGTTTTTCTAAGACTAAAGTGAAGTTTTGACAGCACTGGGACCCTTCTTGTGCTTCCTGCACAGATGTTTCTGCTCTAAATATGCATAGTGAGAGAAAGGGAGAGAGGGTACTCACCTAGTTCGGGTGCTTTGCTTAGCACAAATGCATATGCCCAGAATTTGCTGACAGGTCCAATGTAAAAACTCTGGTCACACACTGACTGCTTCAGGCCTTTGGTCATCAAAATGTACAGCATATAAGCACCAGTTCGAACAGCACCAAATATACTTTAAAACAAAAAGAGAAAATGAAGAAAGTTGAGTGGACACTTGAAATCTACATGTCATCACTTCATTATGAGAGAAAGGTCATAAATGTGCTGAAATAATAAGTTTGAGACGGCCTAAAAGCTGGAACAACTCTGCTGGCTTCTAGGAAGTCATTCTGAACTCAGATTTTTAAACTGGACTGCAGCCGTATCCCCTGGTAAAAGTCTGGAATGGTAGCGTCAATGGTTTTTATTTCATTACTACAGGAATGATCCTTCAGTTTTCAGGAGCAGCAGGAGACATCTACTTAGGCTGAAAACAACATGCAGAGTTTTGATGCTGACGGCTGGAAGACTACAAGAAATGAGTTGATAAAGAGCTGTCATCAACATAATCAGGACCAATTGTCTCTTCTGATTTCCTCAGTTTTCTCTTGTCTCTCTCTGTGCTTGTTACACCCACAGGAGCTCTGAGCAGAGAGAAACCCAGGTAGGGCACACACATTTTGGTGGGGGGTCTCAGTCAGGGCTGGTGTTTTGGTGCACATGCTGACTTCATCTCTTAACAGGTCATTGCCAACAGAGGAATCACCTAGTTGAGTTGTAAACAGCAGGTTCACCCTCACTTCATCAAAGTGAGATGCAAGGTAACAGTGTTCTGTAAATGAGAAACATCATGAGATTTGCAATGGTATTAATTAGTGCAATTACAGAGGGGATAGGTTCAGATAACAAAAGACATCCAGCTGATGTAAGGAACAAAGGCTTCTGTCTCAGCAGTGAGGCGCTCTGCAGAAGGAATTGCCTGTTTTTATGACAAGAACATGATTGCCCGTTGTCTACCACTGTAGCCCTTCAAAAGCTGTGATCAATAGTGGGTGAAACAAGCAGCTTTCAGAAAAATGGACCAAAGAAAGACCCAACCTCCTTCGGGGCTGAGTATATCTTACCTTACGCCTACATCATATGTCCCTGTGCCTCTACCGAGCTCAATCCTATGTCCCCTCTAACTTCTTTGTGCCCCTGTCCTACTCATGAATCCTCTGGTTTGGGCTCTGCCTTGATGACTTTTATGACCATCGCATGGCAGCAAGCAAACCAAGCCACCTAAAATTCATGTGTAGACATGTGTGGGCAATGCAAGCTACCATTTATGCAAAGTGCCTGAAGTAAGGAACAGTTCCTCTGAAGCTATAGATTCTCTCTTACTTGTCCTTGTCTTTAAAAAATGTGCTTTAAAATCATCAAGGCAGCCTCAAAAGTTGAGACCTATGGCAGTTCTTATGGCACTTGGTCAGACTAGATGGTTCATGCAAGCCCTCCTTACCCCTTAAAATCTGTTGACCTAAGTTTTTCTATTTTTTGCACGTACTTAGATTTCCAAATCTGCAGCACTGATACGCTCAGTCAAACCTGCCTGCTGCTAAGGAGCAATGCCCCCTGCTCTCCCCTGTCCACTGCAGGCACTCTGCACCGCGCTGCCTGGTGCTCTTCGGGCTCTGCCAGTGGCATCACAGGCGGGGCTCTACAGCCAGGTCACACCCAGGGAGAAGTGTTACATCCTGGCTCCCGCACCATTACGACGCCTGTGGTTTCACTGTGCCATCAGGAAATTCAGACAACAGTGAGCACTTAAGAAGCTACTATCATTATCTGCTGTTGGTATGGTGGTATTTGCTCATGGGCTCTACTGCCAGATAAGTCCTCTTGTGCTATATGCAAATAGAAAACCATCCTGCTGCGGTACAGGTTTGCTGAAGGAATTTAGCTGAGTCTGGGTTTCCCATTAGCACTGCCCAAAGCAATGCACATATTCCCAGGCTTAGGCAACACAGCAGCTGCAGTCTCTCACATTCATCTGCCCCTGCATGCAGAAGAGAAAGTGCAGTATTCTTAGCATCTACGCAGCCCACAGTGCATCCTCTCTGTCTTGGGTCGTTCCCTCCCAGAAATGCTCTCACAGCATGCTTGTCTCATGTCTTTTGGGGATCGGTCCTTTTAACTCGGCAGAGAGTGCCCAAGCCTGCAGGAGGAGTTTTGAAATGAGGTGCAACTTGTTCCGTGTCTTCTCTCTGGTGTTTAACACATGCCTTTTTTTTTTTTTTCTCAGGAGTTGCATTTCTCATTCCCGAGCAGACAGGAGATCCTGACAGAGATGTGATCTGATTATTTCCTGAGGCAGTGAACTCCTCAAGCTGGCCAGGGCAGGCTGCTGCTTGCTCCTCTGTTTTGGGTGGTGGCAAAACTGGGTGGAGGAAGATCAGGCAGAATATCTAATGATATGCTGGTTCTCCCATTAGCAAACACCTCAGTGCTGACATTAAAATGGGGGGGAAAAGGAAATTTTAAATTATAAAATCAAATAGCTGCAAGCAATACGCCTTTCCTTGTACAGAAGCTGTATTGCTTTTCTAAAATATCATGTATTATTAAAGTTTTAAAGCCTAAGAGAATTCTGTGCCATGCACACAAACTCAGATGAGCACTGGCTCGAGCAACAGGCAAATGCTGACTAAACTGTAAGGGATGAGTATGGACACCCAGGCGTTTCAACTGGACTGGTAACAGAGCCCTGTGGGGATTACACAGTTTCACTGTGCTGCCCTTGAGACTATAACGATGTAATTCTTCCTGTCTTTCTATTTAGCAACTACTGCAGAGTTCTCCTTGGAGTGCGCACGCACTCACACGTGCACGCACTCACACGTGCACACACTCACACTCACGCTGACTTTTCTACAATTTTGCAGCATGGTGGCTTCCTCTAGTTCCATGACTCTAGAATAAATGACTCCAGCTACTGCTCTACATAGTCAGCCTAACCTGATTTTTTAATCAGTAAAAACCAAGTTACATTTTTGCATAATTCACAAGGGAAGGCTTTGTAAATTAGGAGGATGGTAAACTGCAAGTAACCGATTCAATCACCTAAATAGACGCCATGAGCGGGTAGCTGTTTATGAGATGTGCTGCATGCCAAAACACTACCTTGCCAACAAGCACACACCACCGGAGACAGAAAAAGATCTAATGCATGCTTGCAAATGTGCCTTGGACCCAGAGAGCCAGGACTGCTTTTTGTGCCTCTGCCACTTAACCTTGTTTGTTCTGTAAGGTAAGCTCAACCAACAAATTTCTATCTTGCAAAGACATGATGCGCAGCAGAGTGATGACATTGCTTGCTCAGTAAATCACTTCTGCTTCATTTTGTCCTCGCCCTGCTCTCTGCTGTAGCTTTTGTGAGGTTTTGAAATGAACTGCTTACCAAAGCAGTCTGTTTGGTGGGAATCATCTGCAGGGATTTTAGAAATAAGGTACCAATGAATTACTGTACAATTACAGTACAGAGAGACTGATCAGAAACAAACCGCACTGGCTAACGCAGCTTTCGCATCTATTCAGACACAAAATGTCCTACATTCTCCTCCCTCCAGGCAGTGACTTCTCTGGTAGATTAACAAATTCCCAATTGATATTTTACTGTCCACAATATGATCAAAACATATCCAGGAGTAAACCAAAACCTGATACTTTTCCCTCACAAACTTGTTTTCAGATGAAGACCTCAAAACGCTTCCCATGCATGGGTTAGGAGCAGCATTTAAGAAGAAGGGAAACTGAGGGCTGGGAAGCCCACTGATGTTACAGAGGAGGACAAAGCAGGCATTAGCAGCCTGTTCTTCTGTTCCTTCTGTTTCCTCCATCCTAATTATCAGGAGGGAGTGAAGCACTCGTTTCTCAAAAGCCTGAGAAGGCAGCAGGTAGCTCCAGCCTTCATTCAGTTCAAGGGCAGCTGCCATTGTAGCAGGCTCAGCTCCTCCTTGGAGCGAGGAGCCCATGTTTGCTAGGGCTGCTTTCCAGGCAGATCCATCACTGCACTTGGCTACTGACACCGCTGGACATCCCCGTCCAGGACTAGCACTGCAGAATTGAGCAGGGAGTGTGACTTCCACATAAAAAACAATTAAAATCAAAAGTTCAGCACAAAATATAGCAACATTTCCTAAAGGATTTTAGTGCTGTCATAATCATAGAGAGGAAATTGTCTGCTCCAGTTTGCATCTTAAAAAAAACCCCAAACTAACCAAAGACACCATGCAAACTGCATCTCTAGAACTAGGTAAGGATGGCATTGACGGGGATAACAGTCTTAACTATGGCTGAGGTGAATGTAAAATTTGTTAGCTACAAGCTACACGTCAAAAGTGGAGTATCTTCATTTTCTAAAGCATGCCATCCTGCGTACCCAGCACCAGCAGAGCGCAGCAGGGAGCCCGCAGACAGCAAGACTCGGCTGTGCTGTGCAAAGTTACGGTCTGGTAGGGACTTCAAGCAGAGCCCTCCTTACCCAGGCCCACAGGCTGCTCAATCCTGGCTCAAACCACAGGCACCCAGTCTCCGAGGGGTCGGACTATCTTCTGCCACAGGTCTGCCATTTGCTCCCTGTGCTCTTTGATTAATTCCTAAAACAAAGTTTGTAACAAAGCAATGCTGCAACACGACCCCTCGGTTTGTTTTTTAGTTCTTTGGAAGTATTTACAGAGCTTTTCTTCTCCACCAAAGGCAAGCTGCTTTCAAATCCCTCTTACCTTCTGCAGTTTCATGGAAGGTGGTCCCAGAGCGCCAGTCCATCAACGATACGCACCAAGCGGGTGACACAGCGGGGCCAGGGCTAGGTGACAGCTTTCTTAAGAAACTGATGGGATTTTGTTGCTGGAAACAAAACCTCGTAGGAGACTTCTATCCGTCTCCCACAAAACCCTGCTTTGGTCATGTGAGAAGCAAGAGTAGTTCTGGCTGACTTGGAAGACACAGAGGCACCTCTGGAGGATGCGAGCATTGAAGGGGCCGCTTACCTTGCAAACCAACAGAGGGAAAGGTTTTTCCAAGCTTGCCACAGAATTATTTTTTCCGAGGTGACTTCAGATAAAGTTGGCAGACCAGTGTTGGGAAATGCCCGCTCAGGGAGGAAGCACACGAGGCTAGGTCCTACCTACCAAACAGGACAGGAGTTCTGGG